ATTTCAGTGACTTATGCAGACAGCTCTCGCTGGGTTGGTCCCTAAACGTTGGTTGATCTACCTCGACGACATCATTGTTCACGGCCGCACAATCGACGAACACAACAGTCGACTGCGAGAGGTACTATGCCGCCTCAAGGGAGCTGGCCTAACCCTCATCGCCGAGAAATGTAAGTTTTTACAACGTGAGGTATTGTTCTTGGGCCATATTTTGTCTTCCGATGGGGTCCAAACGGACCCGGATAAGACCAGACACATCGCTGAGTGGCCGACACCGACGAATTTCCGTGGGTTACGTAGTTTCCTCGGTCTGGCATGATACTACCGGAGATGTATCAAAGGATTTGCCGCCGTCAGTGCACCACTCCACAGGCTTACCCAAAATGATCGGAAATTTTCGTGGACTGTAGAGTGTGATGAAGCCTTCAGCCGTCTTTAGCAAGCACTAACATCCCCACCTATTTTGGCATACCCGGACTTCCCACCCGATGCAGGAAAGTTTGTTTTAGATACCGATGCTAGCGAAATGGCGATTGGTGCTGTGCTGTCCCAACGTGTTGGTTACCGAGAAGTCGTTATCGCCTATGGTAGCGGCGTCCTAGGTAAACGTGAACGTAACTACTGCACCACCCGACGTGAAATGCTTGCCCTGGTGTACTTTTTCCACCACTTCTGGCCCTACTTGCTCGGCAGGCACTTCCTTGTTCGGACAGACCATCACTCACTACAATGGTTACTGAGTTTCCGCGACCCCGGCGGTCAAGTTATACGTTGGCAAGAGCGGATTCAAGAGTATGATTTCTCTTTCATCTATCGCACGGGCGCCAGACATTCGAACGCCGACGCCTTATCCCGAAGGCCGATCCAGGAACTAGAGTCTGTTAATGTATTGCTCGCGCCTAATCGAATAAACTGGGAAGAAGGGCAATTCAGGGACGCAGATATTGGCCAGATTTACCGCCTCCAGCTGCTGGGTAACACCAAACCTTCTGGATGCCTGATGGCTTTGAGATCCCCGGTGAGATCCCCCGAGTGAGAATAGGCTCAACCTATTCCTCTCCAGCGCCGGTCTCCAATGGAGTTCCTCAAGGCTCCGTCTTGGGACCACTCCTGTTTCTGATCTACGTCAACGACCTCCCAGACGTTCTTGCGAGTCCATGTTTACTTTTTGCGGACGACTTGAAATCCTGGAGTTCCAATGCCAGCGCCCTCCAAATGGATGTAGACGCTGCCAAGCAGTGGTCGTTGGACTGGCACCATCCTCTGAATGATGAAAAGTGCGTCCATGTGTCGTTTGGAGGGGATTCAGCGAATGCCTTCGTTATGCATGGTGAAAAGGGACCAGAAAACATCATGAGGATAGATGCCAAAAAAAGATTTAGGCATCTGGGTCTCCTCAAACTTGTCCTTCGCACTACACCATGAGAAACCGGCCCAAAAGGCATTCGCCGTTTTACGGATGATCCGACGTACCTTCTCCCGTATTACGGGAGACGTCAGACCGCTCCTGGAGTACGCCAACAAAGTTGTCTACTCAGGACGTACGAAAGACGTTACCCTCATTGAGCGTGTCCAGCGGGCCGCCACGAGAATAGTTGCCGGCCTCAAGTCCGTGGACTACGAAACGCGTCTCGCGACGCTTGATCTATTTCCCCTGGAGTACCGTCGCCTCCAAGGGGACCTAATTCTTACCTACGCCCTGTTTGAACAAAGCTTGACAAACAGGTTTTTTACCGTTGACCCAGCAAACACCCGGCGGGGACATAGTAAGAAAATCTTCAAGCTCAGGGCACACACATCCGTTAGACAAAACTTTTTTTCATTTCGGGTAGTAGCTGCGTGAAATGACCTTCCTCCGACGGTTGTACACGCTCCTTCTCGAACCCAATTTAAAACACTATTAGACATTTATTTATGCGAATCCTCGCGCTGGCGAGCATACTACCCCGCGCTGAGAACATAAAGAGCAATGCTACACCCTTTTTTCACTTGTGCCTTTCAGCCACTGACCGACAAGAAGAACACCGACCCGGGAAACTTGGGCAAAAGCCTCGATCATGTGTATCAATCCGTGAATCCGTGACTGTTGTTGTGACCGCCGGTTGGCTATATTTGACGGCTGCTAGCTCTAAACGTGAACAAACATTTCGGCTACAAACACTGGACTAATATATTCACGCTTGTGGAATAATATTTCGATCACCGGAGATCTGGGATACCA